ACTCAGGAGAATTTTATATTTTTGTGTTCTCTGTCAGAACAAAACATCTGATAACAGGAGATTACATGAAATAAGAAACCTCTGGTCACATGTTTTCTCCGCATATTAATCTCCAACAATTAATAGTGTCTGAGCTAAATGACCAAGAAACAACATACAACAGATAAAGTTGCTGCAGATGGGCAACATGTCAAGTTAAAGCTTTGTAACAAAGCGAAAGAGAGAATACTAGAATAGAACATGCAGAAAACAATAATGTATATTTCTACTCGATTCTTATAGTAATGGTGAGAAAGAAATGAACATTTATAATAAAATGTCTGGGCTGAGAGTCAGCAGAACAAGCCTGAAGAATAAAATCCAGCAGCATGCAATGATCTGGGGAAGGCGTGAAGAATGTCACGGATCACCAGAAGCCATTTTACAGAGTTTACTTACGAAACGAGAGTTGCAACACAATTTACAATTTTAAGCTCTGGTTTGTAACGGTGTTGAATTAAAGACTGAGCTTCTTAAAGAAAGCTGTTAAGGCCCTGCGTTTATCTTCTTGTTATGCACCGGTCACTCCAAACACTCCAAACACTCTTCTGCATTAAATGGACATGAATGCAACTATCATGAGCTACTACCCTCAACACAGTGGAAAATGATGATACAATATGTTTTCTTTATTTTTGCTGCACAAAATGATAAATTAAAAGCTTTACAACATATTTCTGCCCAGAATCAACTTGCTAGCTTGTCTTCCACTGACTAAAATGACCCTGCAGGTGTGCTGCAGGTGTAGCTGATGAAAAGATGCAGTCCTCAAAGCAAACGACATCCGGAAAGCTTTATGTTTAATGTATCTACAGCGTTTTTATGAGGCTGCATTTACCAGAAAAGGACAATAAATCACACAAGCTGCAAGATGTAGCATCTGTCTCTGCAAGCTCTGCCACTTCATGGAGGTGCAACAGTAAATAGCTTTATCTTTCTGAGTCTTAATAACAGCCAAAGAAAAACAATAGAGCTACCAGAGATGATAATTATTGCTGACGAATAGCAGAGCAGAAAAGAATCTGTTCTGTCAAAGGTTGGAGATCCACATTTCACAGGGAAATAGAAGCTGATTATAGACAACATTAGATTACAGTGTACAGGACGGCACTCGTGCAGAATGTAATTGGATGAGTTAATCATGTTGCAGTCCATTAAAGAGTCACAGCTTGTCTCAAGTTTGTTCAGCCGTGTGTTGAAACAACCCTCTGAAGTATCCTTTAAATCCCGTAGCGATGAAGCCTTTCAACAAAAAAAGCTTAAAGGCATGAGAGTTCATTAAATATCTGAGGAAATCAGAACCTTTCCCAACTTAACACCTTAGATTTGACCTTTCAGCCCACAGAACTGGTTGTTTCCTTTTTGGCCCACTTAGATCAGTCAGAACTGTTTTTGGGTCAAAACTGACAGCGCTTCAATATTATTTGTACTTCAATACACATCGACTAACTTTATCTGAAGATAGGTAACCCCAAATCACTGAGCTAGGATATGTTGGACTTCCAAATACAAACAAAATGGTTATGACCAACCGACCAGCCGACAGACCGGCTGACTAACCCTAACCCTAACCCAGCCCTACCTTAACCCAGCCCTACCTTAACCCAGCCCTACCTTAACCCAACCCTACCTTAACCCAACCCTAACCCAACCCTACCTTAACCCAACCCTACCTTAACCCAACCCTACCTTAACCCAATCCAACCTTAACCCAACCTTAACCCAACCTTAACCCAACCCTAACCCAACCTTAACCCTAACCAACTGGACATTCTGATCATTGGACAGCCGATATGATTAATGTGACCATCTCAAACAACAGAAACATCAGGAACATGACTCAGTGGATAAATACCAAGAGTTCAGGAAAAATAATTTATCAAAACATTTTTAAAAGATAAAGTCCCATCATATTAACAGGGATGTATAGATTTCTGAGGGTGACTTTTGATTCTTGGTTGCTAATGGACATAATTCTTTTATTAGATTAAGAAACAATTTCCTAAAATGACTGCTTTAAGATGAAAAGTGTTGAGATTTAATTATTCAGATAATTCTTTGATAATGAGAATGACTTATTTAAGCTAAAATAGTTCAGCAGTTTAATGTTACAACTGGCATAAAAAATAAAAACGATTAAAAGATGAAAGAATTTCTTCCTGTGACCGTCTCTCTGCGTTTGCCTGTTTCAGTCTGCTGGCAGCAGGAACAGCAACAGAAGCCAACGTGAGACTACGTCGGTGAGTAATTGTCTTCACAAACTGTTCACAGCCCAGATGAGAGCCTCCAAAGGTCACTTTGAGTTTTCAAATCTAAAAATATCTCCATTTACTTGATGAGTGGATTCACCCAGATGATAATTTAAAAAGAGAAGTCATTTAAAAAGAATCAAGAAACACAACAAACACTTCAGTTGAGCCCATTTGTCTCCACATGAATCCTGATGTCTCTTTAAGTTTGCTCCCGAGGGCGCCGGTCGACTTAAACACAGACTTCCAGCTGATTAGATTCACACTGACCTCGTCTGAAAACTATCAGCTGAAAATGAGCATGTTGTAGCTCCTTGCTGCCGGCTCGGCAGCCAAGACGAAACGCAGAGGCTGCGAGGGAAATCAGGTCGAATTAAGCCACCAATAATATCTGTGCAAATCCCTATTAACTAACTAGACGAAGAACATATTTGCGACAACAGCCCCGAGGAGGAAACCACGGCGTGTGGATGACACACTCAGGATGGGAGTGAAAATGAGTCCGGCGGAGGTGATAATCACGCAAGAGCCTTTTGCTTCGGGCGCCAACTTTGCCTGTGAGGATGCAAATTAAAGCCACATAAACCATTGGCCTCATAATACCTGTTATCACTGTCCACCTCATTAACGTCGAGTTGCTCCATCCAGCTCTCAGCCGGCGGAGCCTTCTTGAACTTTCTCCTCGGCTGCTTGATGTACTTCCCGCCTGCACGGCTGCCGCGTATTTAATCACTGAGATCAATAGCTGTTACCATCATTGATCTTGTGAGTCTATTTCATGGGTAAGGTGGCAGCACCTCATATTTTCTGCACGCTGCAGCTCTTATACATAATGTAACCAGCTGAGGGCTGTTTTTAATTAACATTAGAACACACTGCTTCAGAATTGGGAGATGCTGCTGACTGCTAAGGACTTTCAGTGATTTCATGTTTTGCCCAAAACTCTGGCTGAAGGCGCTGCCCTCTCAACTCTCCCTTTACTTCAGCTTCAGAGGAATTTCCTAGCTTGTTTGTTCATGTTAATATTATCACAGTGCAGCAGATTCCTAAGGTTCCCTGATGTTTTTACTTATCCTCCAAGACAGGTTTCAGGATTTTTGGAGTTTTTTTGGTGGACCAACAAAAAAAAAGAAAAACTGCATAGGAAGGAAAGCCAAAAGTTTCAGTTTGTAAATGTAAAAAGCTGCTAGAAACTATTGAGTTGTGAGCTGAATACAAATACATGAAACATTTTTTTTTTAGGTTTAGTTGGTCAATGAATAAAAAACGTGACAAAAAATGAAGTTTGTTGTCAGGTAGTGTAGATTGATCCTGCAACCCAAAATATTCTACATTTGGTTTCTTTTTAATTCCTACATTTAAAATGAAATATTTATAAACAATTGGGTCAAAATTATTTAAAGTATGTGAATTTGTCCTCATATCTTTAGTTTTATTGCACATGCTGGTTGTCATCTTCTGGACAAAATCTAATGGCGTTCTGCTGTAGTTTGATATAAATTAACATTCTTCCACATTTTTGTGAAACTTTAAAAGGTTTTAGCCGTAACAACCAACCTGTCCCTGTCCCTCAGGCAGTGACAATCTTTTCAGATGTGAGCTGCTGACGGGACTGACTGAACCACCACTGTTCCCTGATCATCTCCCTCCAGCGGAGCGGACACTCGGCTCCCAGACCAGGGTCACTGACCTTAATGGCCGACATTTACTGGCACAATCCTGGAGCTCAGCGTGAGGACGGCGTGCCACAAAGAGACACAAAGGCCAGTGAAGGTGACACCATCATGGCAACAGGTGAAGGGACACTTCTACACACTCCTGGAATATAACCTGATGAAGATTGTCTTCTGTCTGGATGATCTGAATCCACTGACTGAACTGTTGCAGCATTCTTATGAGTTGATCCAATAAACTTCACCACTGAATCCAATCATTTCATTTATTGATGCAAAGCAACCTGTTGCTGTGAAAATCCTGCTGATGAAATGATTTGAATGAAAACTCCAAAAAGGTCATCAAAAATACACCAGTCTGCTTTAATAAAATAAAAAATAAATATTTCCTAACTTCCTAACTTGTTAATTAATTCAACAAAAGATGAGAAACAGTAAAAGTTTTCAGGAATTATCAGAGGAATTTATTCTAATGACAATAGATGCTAAAGCTAACTGACCCTCATATGAAATACATGAAACTTTCAGGAACTAAAAAAAACATCAAAGCACAGATCAAAGGCTTTTTTGTGGTTACAATTAAGTATTGATTAAAATGATCAAAAATAAAATTCATAAATAAAAGAGCCAATAACTCAACCTAATACAGAAAAAACATTACAATAGATTGTAATGTTTTTCATATACATTTTGGTTTAATTCACTATATGAGTAAACAATATTGTTTCACAAGGTTTTAGTATTATTTTTTGTCCAATTTTATGCTGTTACATAAAAAGTATTGTTTTTAAGAGGCAATATGAAGGTTTTCCCTCCTAAATGCAACATTTTTTCTGTAACTGAAGAACAAACAAATAAAACCAATAAAATCCACGACTTAATGCTCCAGTTTAGCTATGAAACGGAGCTGGAATATAACAGGAATGAGTTTGATCTCCTTTAATTAGGCTTGAACGTCTACTCTATAAAATAGTCTATAATAATGTTGATTGTGAATTGGAGCTCTTTAAATGAGCAGATCTGAAGTGAAGAGCCTAACCTTCTGGTCGTGGCTGTAGGCCAAGGCCCAGTCCTCCTCTGTGGGGTGGAATAAAAGGCTCAGGACGAAGAAGGAGAGGCGGTACTTCTGGAAACTGGCTCCCTCATCAGTGCTGATGAGCACGCTGCTCTCAAACTCCGGATCAGTCAGGACCATAATCTGAGAGCAGGGAGGATGAAGAGAGGAAAACACAGAGGAAGGGAGAGTTTGGAACGGAGAGAGGAGGAGATGAGAGGAGACAGAAATAAGACGTTAGAAGCAGGAGCGGTGTCGGACCTAAAATGTTTTGCCAATTTGGCACATTGCAGGTTTACGTTTGGCAAACAGCTTTGCAAAAGCTCCTCTGTGGAGCCTTCTGTGCTATCAGAGGTCAAAACTCATCATCATATCTGTCTAAAACAAGAACTAAAAAGGAAACAACGACACGCAGGTTGAAGCCTCCTTCAGAAACCCTTCCTCTGCTCCAGCTGCAGCCAAGAGGCGCTGCTTCTAATGAGAGATTTAGCAGGCATGACTGAACCTAAACACACAATAACTTACTGTCTTTATCAGTTTGCACCACACAATGTCATTTGTTAGCATTTCCTAATTCCAGCTTCAGCAGCTCAGCGGGGGGTTGGAAGCTGTAATTTCATGCTTGAACTGTTTCTGCGGGAGCCGTCACGGTTCCAACAGAATTCAATAAGGAGAGGAACTTTTACCGCATATATCTTTCAGCTAATGACATTTAGAGTCTTTCTGGAAGCAGATTAAATGCTCACTGGAATTTTGCCTTGAATTACAGGAAGCTCCTCAAAGTAGCCGTAATCAGTGTATTTTATTCAGCCGCGCTGAAGTGAAGCTGATGCATTACCTGAAATAAGGGGCCCTATTAGTTTGCTTTCTTTATTTTACAGTGTAAGCTAAAAGGCAGAAAGGGGATTTACATTATTTCACATGAAAAAAGAAACGTTTCTGTTTCTACACGCTGACGAATTTTATGAGGTTGTACCGGGATGTTTGGTGGTTGACTGACACAAAGCAGAGCAGGATTATGAAGAGGGAGGAAAAACAAATCTTTTTTTAATGGTGGGATAATTCCATTTTTTACCTGAGTTAATTGCAGAGTCTCTAATTAAACACCATAAATTGAATTTTAATAAAAAACTTTGACAAAACAAAAATCAACATTTTCTATCATACATTCTTTTGATGCTAAATTCTTAAATGAATGATCATATGAGCTTAATAACAAAGATACTTAATGTTTTTAGTCTTTTATTCAGGTTTTTCAACCATCAGATTGGAGCCAAATGTTATTCTACTCCTTAGCTTTCATCCCGTCCCAGGAAGCCCTGATCGTTCATGCAGGTCCTTTGGAAATGTGGACTCTGGATGCTGACATTAGCATTAGAAGAAAGGGCATCTTTTTCACTTTTTGACTTTTAAAATAAAACTCCAACTTGTTTTTGCTCTGGATGAGTTCAGACTCATTGATTCTCCCATTTACCAGTAGCTGTTCACACTTGTCTGTTCCTTTGTGGTTTGATGTCTGCAGTTGTTTGTTTCCCAGTTATGGCCTCAAATAGGTTTAATCCACTAACATGGACCCAGAATCCTCAGTGGGTTTCTGCAAATTAACAGTTATTGTCCACATGTGTTGGCCCAGTAGCCATCGCCTGTCCTTTAGGATGGAGCTGCTTTGCTCCTCAAACCTCCACCAACCATGCATGTTGCATGAGCGCGCAGTGGCACAGCGGGCAGCGCCGGGGTCCAAATAGCTGTGTTTTCTCTCGTCAATTCCATTGGAATTGGAAGAACAGCAGCACATTTGTCACTGACAGAAAAGCCAGCTCTCCTTCCAGAGCTGTAAGCAGGAACTCTCCCTGGTGGTGATTTAGATAAATTGTTTTTCATTAAGCACCAATAAACAGGCAGCACTTTCTCAATCTGGCTTTCTCATTGGCGTGGGCTCGCCGATCTTTCCATTCATTACCTGTCACAGCGCTGCGCCAATGCTCCTGATATCTGTGAGCCTCTCTGGAGCTTATCAGATGTAATTTCCAGCTTTTAAGCTGTAATCATATTCGATAATGTGGCTGAAAGAGGCCCACTTTGAGAATCAACCATCAGAAGTTAATGGTAAAAAGAAAAAAAGGCATTTAAATGTGTGCACATAATCTAAAAAGATTGTATTAAAATGAACTGCTGCTCTGTGCTGAAGCTTTGAACTGGGAGTTTCCTTTTTAACCTCCATCTGCAGAGCTTTCATGTCCAGCTTTTGCTTCAGTCTTTGAGCTCAAAATGGTTTTCTGTTTCATCACACGGAGCAGCTGCTGGACAATATTCTTACATTTGCATTACTCATTTAGCAACAAGTGTGAAAACATTATTTTCCAAATTCACACATGTTTGTTAAAAATTGTCTGTCGCCTCTGTGACTATGAGCCTATTTTCAAAACTGCAAACACAAACTTGAATGTTTTTTCCAGGTTTTAATGTGACAGAAAAGAAAATGACTCCATTTCAAAATGTCAGAGTCTAAGATGTGTGACATACATTTGGATTCAGCTCCCACAGACCAGTATTTTACAGAAATACTGGTCTTTCTTTTGGCTTTAAGTTTCTCTGAGCATGATGCTGCCACCACCATGCCTTAACATGGGCAAAGTGGATTCAAGGTGACGTGAAAAAATTGATTAAATCCACATAATGCTTTGCAAGTAGACCAAGAAGTTAACTTTTAGTTTGTCTGAGCAATTATCACTGGTTCCCAATTCGATTGACGTCTGGGATTTAATGCAGCTGTAGTTGGAAAAATCAAGAGTCCAGAAATCTTACATAATATCAGACAGCAGTAGGTTCGTTAAGGGTCTTCTGCTCCAACTTCCTGGCGATAAGCAAACTGCCACTCTTCCAAAATAGCTAAAAGCGTAATGTAGACAGATCCTCCCACCACTGAGTTTGTAGCCAACAACTACAAGTCATACCAAAGGCAGGGTTGCTAAAACCTGACATTGTCTAGCAACGTCAGGGAATTTCAACTCCTACTGGCAGCTAAAATTCCTAGTAGGATTTTAAACTTCAACAGGTGATGCTTTCATGACAACTGGTCACACAGGGCTTGTCTTTAGGAGTATTAGCATAAATGTAAACATCAGATTTCAGATTTATAGTTCTAATATTGACCTTAATGTGAAAAATATGGATGCAACTGATCTAGTGGACATGGGGGTCAATCAGGTTGGGTGACATGTTAAGGACAGAATTTATCATCATGCTGCTGAATGACTTCCACAATTTCAGGTTTAGTTTTTAACACTTGAGAAGAAAATGAATAAAAACTTGAATATTATTGAATATTATGGAAAGGTAGTCTACTTTCCCTTTCCTGCTTAAGTAAACAATAATTATTCATCTCCAAACTCGCAGTGACCAATGGCATCATCAAAGTCTGATTAAGATTTCCCTCACAGCCTCCACTCAGCCTTAACGAGGGAGCGGGGCGAGTGAGGAGGGTAACAATACGGAATCGATAAAGGTTGCAGGGGATAACCTTTGTGTTTTATCAGCCTGGTGTCGAGCTGTGCATAAGCTGCAGCGGCGAGATAGAAGTGGATAGTTGTCAGATGGCAAGTTAAGTGGAGGTATGGATCAGAGACGGAGGGAAAGAGACACCCTGCAGCAAATGAATCACGGCGGATCAATCGAGCTTAGGCTGTCTTCCACAGGAGCTTTGGAAACACAGTTGTCTTCACAGTATGCTCATTAGGCACGGATCAGGCCTTAATCACCCACATTTAGCTATCATGTTTTCACTGCCTTTCTTCCTCTGTGGCATCTTAACTGTGCATGTCTTTAATTTTTTTTAAAGCCCGTCGAGCAGACGTTCAATTAACTGCAGAGAAAGCATGAAGCTCAAGAAAAGACGACACGATGCAGCTGAAGAGTTCACTGCTGAGGCCTTCTGCGAAATGTCGTCACTATCGCTCAAATCTTTACCGCGTCTCTGGGGAATGTCACAGCGGCAATGTAGTGAGGCAAAGTATTTCGATATATGTGCATATACAGCTGGGGTGGGAGCAGCGGACGATTATAGGTTTCAGTGAGTGATTAGCTCCAGATGACTCTTTTTATAGAACACAGGCTGATGCTAAATAAGGCCCCTCAAACAAGGAGCCAACAAAGGACTGCAGCCAGCAACAGGGCAACTTTCATCCATCTCCAGGATGGTAAATCGAAATAATTAGGCCTGAGATAAAGCACAGAGAGGCAATGAGAAGAGCCAGAGGACAACCATCATCAGCATTACTACAAGTTCCTGGCTGCCATGACTCACTAACAGCAGCAGACAGGAAGTAAAAATAGTTCTCCTGGAAACTATGGTGGAAATGATGGGATTTCATTTGTTAATTTTCCCTTTTGAGTCGTGGATAAACTTTATCTCATGCCATACAAGCCGACTGAAGGGCTGCGCGTCACATCTCCCGCAGAGAGAACCTGGGGGAGCGCGCTCCTGCCACGGCCTTCATGTGGAATTACATTTTCTCTGCATGAAAATGCAGGAGTGAGTGAGTCATGAGGAGTAATCAGTGCCGGCTATGATCTGTCCCTCGCCACGACGAGGCTCTGCTCTTCGCAGGATCCCATTAACTCCAACGACATGCAAACGCGTTCAGGGTCAACACCTTGGATCGGCCTTGGAGGAGTGATGCTGATGAACCCAAAGACCCAAACCACTTCTAACGCGCCGCCGAGTCGATTTATTCTCTATTAGTCTGCTGGCACTGCGGAGCTTTAGCTTCATCCAACCCGTACCTGAGCAGGAAGGCCGGCCTCTACCAGGTGATGAGTTTCTTTTACATATTTTGTCTCCTAACAACCACAAACCAGTGTGTATTACCTGGATTCCCACGCAAGGAAACTGACAGCTCTCAAAATGTTTTCCACATAAAAATCTGAAATCTCCATTTATTTTCTGAATCATGGAATCATTGTTCTTCGACTACATTCACACAGCGTCTATCCATGCCAGATTCCTACTTTTGCACTGAAATCCATTTTGTGTGTGTGGTTGTTTATGCTACTAATGATGCAGCTGTGATCAGTAATAATGTGTCTATGGCTCGAGTTTAGAGCCAATCAACAACAGGAGTCAACAGTCACAAAATGACAGAGGAAGCTAATGAAAAGAAAGCACAAACAACAACAGCAGCAGAACATTGTCTGTTTGGTTTGTTTGGAACCAGGAGTGATGAGATCAAACTATCAATTTGATAAATTGTGTTACGGACATCGATAACTGCAGATTTTAATATATGTTGGATTTTCGTTTTTCGCTGAATAAATGCACTTAAAATATATTGGTGCAATAAGCAAATTAATTTATTATTACAGTCAAAGTCAGATAAATGCAGAACACATTGCCTTTCCTCTTTTACAAAGCATCCCATTTTTTCAGGGTTGTGTTTATAGTTTTTAAAACTGTTATTTTCTTTGTGGATTAAATTATATTGCACTCATGAGAAATTGATTTCTTACCTGCAGAGGAGTGCTAAGTGCTCTCATTTAAAGAGACAGTTGGGAGTTTTGAGAGATGAGCCAAGTGGTTCATTTTTGAAGAAAATGTTATCGTGTGAATTTTCCCACTTCATGCATCCAGTAGCTGGTTACCAGGCAGAAGGACTGACAAGTCCTGTTCTCACTACTGGAAGCTCAAAAAATACTTCAGAAGAGTTGAAAAGGAAGCTTTATGGATGAAGATCAGCAGCACAAAGAAGGACGGAGTTCAAACCACCATAACAGGGAATGACCATATCCCCAACTCCAACATCTCTCTGCCCAGCCGTCCACCCTTACAACCAGAAAGAGATCTTAAAAGGAATGACAAAAGCAAAGGAAGTGGATTAGCAGAGCTTGTCAACAACTAGTGGTGTTATCAGGGACACCTCTGCTAGCCAGATATTGAGCTGTCAGCCTGTCATAACAGTCATCTGACTGTTTTACAGAAATGGTCTTCAGTCAGAGGCGTCTTCAGGTTAGTTGCAAGACTGGCTGCTACTGGAGATCTTTTAAAGCCACAGGCTCACCATCCAGGAAGACTTTCTGAGAATACTTGACTGATGTGAGTCACAACATTTAATTTCCCTTTGGAATAAATAAAGCAGTTTTGACTGAATCTGATTAAATGCCGTTTACTGAAGCCGGAGAAGCACAGCACAAAGAAAGTGCAGGAAGTTGTAATTCACAGCAACAATTTTGGGTGCATCAGAGTGGAAAACCTTCTGCTAAGAGAGAAGCTGTCTGCAGAAGTCTTCCATTTTTAACCATGCGGATTCAGAAGTATTTTTTTTGTGTTTGTCATTAGACGAGCAGAAAACCGAGGCAGATGGTGAAAAGTGGAATGCAAACCATGTGCAGATCGATGAACAAAATTCAGAGAGTGTCAGAAGAAATGAAAAGTGATTGACAGAACTCGGAGGCAAATTAAAGGCATCGGCAGATGGTTGGCAGCTGGGAGAACTTGTGATTCTTCTTGTCTTATTTATTTCCAGGCTGGAATTGTTAAAATTCAGTTTCAGCAGGTTGATTCAAAAATAAAGGAAATAACTCACTTTTCTCTTCAGCAGAGTTTGCCAACTAATTTTGTTTTCTGACAGTTTCTTTTTTAACAGAAAGAACAAATAGAGCTGGCTGCAGATAAACTATTAACTAAAGACTATTTTCCGTAGTGTCTGTTTATGTATTTTATGCAGAAGCTCATATTGCGTTGCGGCAGAAAGTAACTGAGAACCAGTGATGTATGGATTGTCATTTCGACACCAGTTGGACCTGCAGTCACCTTTGCTTCAGTTGGAAATGGCCGCAGCGCTGGCAGAGTTTTTACTCCTGTGTGCAGCTTCCTTCCCCAACCTGTTGCTGTGCTTTGTTAGTCAGCTCAATTTGGGGGGTAACGCCGAAACAATTTTGGAAAAATCATCTATTGCAGATTCTTTTATTGACCCAATCGCAACTCTGTGAAGTAAAATGCATGTTGAGAAAATACCTCAACAAAATGCGGCTGGACATGCTACTAGCTGCTGTTTCCAAAGCAACAAATCCAATAGCATCATTTATTTCCCTTGGTCTGACTGGCTGCACTTCCAAAAGAAACGGTAAAAGACACTGTAGATATCAGTTTTTGTGTAAACATCAGGACAGTTTAAACTCTGCACATTAATAATGTGTATTTAATGTTTGAACTATTGAAATATGCATTTATAGATGTTTTTTTGAGAGGGTCTGAAGTGAGCACTGCCAGTCATGGCCAGCAGTGGTTCCTCACCTCCAGAACACTGGGAGTCCACTATACTTGAGATTTCATCCAGCCCCACCAACAGGTCACTGAATACTGGTAAACTTACCGGGTTCTTCCCCAGTAAGTTCTTGCTGGATCTTAAATGGTCGTCATGCAGGTGACCAGTTCGTGTTCTGAGCTTTATGCTGTTACTCTCTACTAACAGTGTCATATAAGTCAGCAATTTGATCAATTCTGCTCCTCAGGCTGCACTGCATGTTTCAGGTGTTCTCCTTCTGCCACACACTGGTTGGATGATTAACAGGCTTCTGCAGCACTTGATGGCATGCAGAGGATGTCATGTAGCCATTGGATCAGTTGTTCTGGAACAGACACAACTAAAATATGCAGGACAGTCGTCCTGAAGACCAGAACTGTGAAACAATGACATACAGTAGGTACTGCTGAGTTATTCTTCAAGTACATTTTACATTCTAGTTACTCATACAAGTGTTTTTTCTCTTGCACATTTGCTATGGCCATTCAGATGTTACCACTGATGTAAATATGTGTAATTTTTCTCACTATAAATACAAGGCGCTCGCACCTGCAAACTTCTAGTCTGTCTGCTCCTTCATGAGTCAAACTTATCTTCTGAGAGAACTAGCTCACATACCATTTACAATCATTTATAATGTAGTATACTGCTAGCTTTACAGATATGCTACACATTGTTTTTTTTATTTTCAGTTGCTGTATTTCCATGTACAGATCATTACCAAAAGAGCGAGAGGTCGGGAATATTCTGAAAGATCTCCAGTTCACCACAGAGCAACAAACAGGAACACGGGACAAACAACCGTTCACACACTCACACTAAGAGCAACTTAATGAACCCAATTAACCTAAAAGTCATGTTTTTGACTGTCGGGTTAATTAGCCTCAGAGAGAACCCACACATGGTCAGAGAGCCATACAGACATTTGAACCCAGGACCTTCAGAAGACAATGGATGGGCATTTTATTTACCATACTACTTATTCACAGGTTAAGAAGATAGAAGAAAATTCCCACCTTCCTTTTGTTGGTTGGGCAAACGTAAAGGTAACTGAGGACGGCTTTGGACCCGATTTTGTCGTTCATTCTCTCGTATGTTGATCCGTAGTCTGTGGATCTGAACAGAACAAAGAGAAAAAACAATGAGAAGCAAAAAACCAAGTGAAAATAATCCAGGAAGCTTTGGGTCTAAACAAACTGATGCTACTTTCTGTAATGCTGTTATATTGATGAAAAAGAACAGAATATCACACCCAGAGGAAGAGAACCAACAGGATGAATGTTAGTTTGGTTGTGTACACGCAGTTTCTCCTGGGGAGTAAATCTGTGGCAGTGAAATAAGAGAGGGTTAACCAATCACCCACAGCTCCCACTAAAATGAACCATTCAAACAGCTCTGGGGACCTGACACTGTAAATAATTAATTCTCTCCTGATGACTACTATGAAATAAAATATGACGAGTGCAAAAACATGTGGATGTTCCAGAACCCTGGTGTTTTAATAATTTAACAGTGGGAATGAGCCTGTTAGCCAGGCCAGTCCCTGGAAACTCCACATGAATCCATCATCTGCAACTACCAAATCTGCCTTCAAGTATCACATTTCAGCATCTGCAGGCCTGCTCACAGGCTTTTCTGCCTCGGTGGGTGTCGTGCCCGGAGAATCTTCTCTGTGGGGACAGAAGCTCCCGCCCACTGCTGTGGCAAAACTCCCGTTTGGATTTGCAGTCTGACTCATATTGTTATGCGGAGAGCTAAGATGATTCCTGTTTTTGTCAAAACCTGCTGTTTCAGAGGGAAACGAGCTTTCAAAGAGGCCGTAAGGAGGAGTCACTCCTTCAAAGGGAACGGTATATGCAGTGATTACAAAGCACCATAATGAGCCAGAGAGCGGCAGCATCATTTCCACATTACATTAAAGTGGGATGGGGAGAAACAATGTTAGGCTGGAGTGTGAGCTGTAAACTACACATTTTACGTCTGCTCCTCTGAATGAAACCTTTCACTGATAAGGTTCTTGTAGAAGGTTTTGTTGAAAATAAACGAGACAGCTTTCCAGGTGCTGAATCAAACCAATCAGTTTTACTTTCTCTGAGAAATTCTTCACCTGAGACTCAAATCTGTGCCAAAGGTAACGCCTACGCAAACTACAGCAGACAGTCGTCTGTTCCTGTGCACTTCTACATAAGTGAACCAACAGAAAATGTAATTGATTGAATAAAAGACATCCTTGGTTTTCAATGGACAGCATCATATTTATCAAAGCACACACTAATATATCAACATGATCAAAATTATTCCAGAACCTCCGTCTTTTATTTCTGAGGCTAGCAAAAAAAAACCTTGCGATACAGTAAATAAGTGAAGCTACACGCAACGAGGCTCTGTGTAGCTTGGCCGATGCAGAGCGCGAGAAAAAGGTGGTTTGAGTTGCACTTCAACGGGTTTCCCTTTGCTGTGCAGCATAGCACTAAATTAATAATATATATATTTCCAAGTTTCATTTAGTGGAATTATTGTACCATGGCAGCGAGGCGACGGACGGCATGGGAAAGTCTTTCTGCCCTTCAACGTTGTCCGTGAAATTATTTAACTGTCAGAACATCTGTTTGCTACGACCCGTCTGGTTCATTTACTCCAGAACATTTGAAGCTATTGGACTTTTCAAAAAATTACAAACAAAAAAATTTAAGTGAAGATCTGAAGGTGAACATAATATTTACTTTTCTTTAAGTCAAAGGCAAATTTTGTCAAACAAAAATCCTTTTCACTTTATTTTGCAACATTTCTTTTGATTTAAGCTGATACGTATGGCAATGTTTAGTTCAAACCAGAACAAAGATTAAATTTTTCTTTTAGTGTTGTTGGTGAAGGAGGAGGCCATTAAAACCTTTTGATGCCTCACTGATGTGATGCCATGGAAATGTTTCATTCTTTCGGCCGCTGATCTGTTTATTCCCAGCATTCAGATGAGCAGGTGGTGCACACTCCTGCTAATGGCTTCCTGCAATCCATGTAGAATAAGGTTTTAGCAAAACCACAGAGAAAACAATTTGCTAAAGAAGGAAAATGATGTGTGTGTATCTGAATCTTAAAAAACATCTGATGTGGTGATTATTATTTTGCTGTTCATTGGAAAACACCCCGTTTGTTTTATCTAAATTGTGTATGCAGTTTTGCATGACTTCTCGATCGATGTCACCCAGCAGCCTCAGTTTGACAAACACAATTAAACGCTGCACAATTAAATTAAGATTAACTGAAAGTCTTTGATTCAGGCTCAGTGTTTTTCCAGCCAAATTCAGCCTGACCTTGTCCCTCTAATCACGTCAAGTCTTCAGGGACTGACGGCTTCAATTTGACCTGAGCTCCGCTCTCAAGCATTCGTCAAATGAACAGAGGATTATCCATATTTTGTTCTCCTCTTTCTCTAAAGAAGACTTAATAGCACTACTGCCTGGAAAAACAGGCTTATAAGATAAAAATAGAAATAATGGAAATATTTATTTGGTTTCTCTTTGGAGATTCCTAACATAATTTAGTGTTTGCTTTGGTAATTTCTAAACACTAGTCTTTCTTAAGTATACATAGTTATTGTTTATAAGTATGTGATAGTGTAAAAAATGGTGTCATTTTCCTTCAGTGACACGACTGAAGCATTACATTGGAAAGACAAAATCCACTTCGTACATGGTACATGGTTGGACAAACTGCACACATTCAACTCTTAGATGGTGCAGCTTCAAAAGTTCAAGTAAAAACAGTAATGGCTGCTTATGTTCACCGAAACTGTGTGCAAAAAGATTTCCATACCTTCTAAGATGCCTGGTCCCACTTCTTGGAACAAGACAATAAAGTCTCATTTATTATATCAGCAAACTTCCTTTCCGCCACAGTGGAGGACACATTGTAGATTAATAAATATCGGTGCGACTAGGTCTTGTGTACTTTTCTATTTTTAGGCCTGGTAAATAAAGGTCAGTTTGACAGCAGCAGTGAGAAGAAGTAGTTCTTTCAATTGGCAATGAAATGACATAAATGTTCATTTAGCAATAATTTATGTAAGAAGAAAAATATAAAATATGAATGGATTGGAGGAATTGACATTATGTTTCGCCTTTCCCATTAGCACATCATCATTCACAACTTCTTCTGTTTGCTGACTAGTTGAAATTCAACTAGAGAAATCGAGTTCAGTAGGAGAAATACCAGACAGAGATTTCAAGGGAGATGAGAACTGAGCAGAATTGCTAAAGGCAATAGTTAGGCTCCATTTTCTTATTTAAGCCTTTTCATGGAGCAGCTTTTTGCCTGTTATTAATGGATAGCAATATTGTTATTAAGTATTGGTCAATTTATTTACCATTGATAAATTATAAGTTGAAAACTGAACTCTGAATAATGACAATTTGTAAGAGTTCTGATATTTTATGTGATGTGGTTAGCAGAAAGGTTTTCCAGATAAAGACCTTTGGAGTACTGTGTAGGAAACAATTCTGTTTATGTCTCTATGTCCCTGAGAGGACAGGAAGATGCTTCCTCAGATAATTAGCACACGATTGCCACATTTATGCACGCTGCGTTTGTCAGTGGGGGGTTGTCATCAGCACAGGTTTCTGTGGAGTCTGAGCCATGCTTTTCACTTTGTGCTCCTTTCACTCTTCATATAGAAGGAAATCAAAGTCTCAGAGATTCATCTTAATAATACGACAGCATGAATGCGAGTTTTTCTTTTAAAGCATTTTCTGTTTAACACCAAAGTACTCTGAGCAAAGACGGACCCGCTTTCATTTCTGTTGACACAAGCAGTTTCTGTTTTGGGGTCGTTGTAAAAGATAGGAGCTCAAAATAATTTGGTGACAATCAGTAAAAGTGATTAAGGCAAATCCAAGTCAGTATGTAACATGCGCCTCGTTTTAATGCAGAGTTCATACTGAGTCTAAGCATCAAGCCAACACTTATACCCAAGTGGGACAATAATCGATTAGAAAAGACGTAAAGGATGCTTCTCTCAACCTCTTTTCAGGTCAGAAACGCCGTCTCCCAGCTTTCAACAAAGGAGAGGTTTTCATTTGTTGGCATTTGTACCAATTTAAAAAAACAAACAGAGATGCGATGTGGTGCACTGCAGTGTGTGAACATCAAATGATTGGAATAAAAGGCAGACAGAAATTGCATTAGGGAATGTTTGTGAGGTTTTGCCAGATGGCTGCCAATAAAGCAGAACAATTCAGAGCTGTTGTACAACACGGTTGACCATGCTCTGGGGAGACAGAGGGAAAAAAGCCATCTACTTCAAAGACTAAAACTCCAACTAAATCATTTCACTTTCTCAAAAATTGTACAAACAAAGCACATCACCCCGAAGCAGACGAAGGCTAAACAGAGTGTACAGCATTCCTGTTTAAGGGAGAACAGAGGCTGAATATCCAGGCTCGTCATTGAAGAGAGAGCATACAAAAGACCTCATCAACATTCATCAAAGGTGTAAAGATGAAAGCATCGTCAGGTGGTTGTCAGAGTCAAGGCCAAGCAGAAACAACTCAGTGGTTTGTCCTCAGAAAAAGAGTCAAACAGAAAGAAAGGAAATGAGTTCTTACCTAACAAACCTGCAGTAGAACCGAGCCCAGAGTGCAGGAACTCACAGATGCACCTAAAAAATAACCCTGATCTGATCCGGTGAACCGAAGAGCCATGTGGTGGAACGAGGTCAGAGATGGAGCTGCACAGTGAGCTGCAGATGTTTCTAAATCATCTCATTGTTTTTGTTCTGGGGAAAAACTCTGAGGACACGACAAAGGCAAGGCTGCCTTCCAGGCAAACCCACTCCTGGATTCAGTTCGGGGATCTTTCAGAAACAGACAGAGCTGTCATCACAGCACCAGTGAGGTAAATGCTGTAGCAAGTCATTGTTTTCAAGGAGTTGTTATAAAGTAGGGTTAAAGTTGTCTGAAATAAGAAAAAACTGAATTCAGAAAAAAAACCCTGAAAACTATAAACCGACTGCTTCATTTTTGATGGAACCAGATAAATGTGAAATGCCATGAGGTTTAATTGTTTAAAATGAATTAGTCTAGGTAGTGAGAGGTCCAAAGGAGCATTGATGAGATCGTACT